GTGTTTGATTGATTGATTGAGTGAGAGATAGAAGAGAGAGAGAGAGAGAGAGAGAGAGAGAGAGAGAGAAAGGGAGGGAAGGAGGGAGGGAGGGAGGAAGGGAGGAAGGGAGGAAGGGAGGAAGGGAGGAAGGGAGGAAGGGAGGAAGGAAGGAGGGAAGGAAGGAAGGAAGGAAGGAAGGAAGGAAGACACAGGTGGGGGGTCTGGTAAAAATGACGATTCACAAATCTCGGGGAGACAGAGAGCATAGGCCCTGGAACTGACCACAGAGATGGAGCAGGTCTCTCTTCAAAAAAAAAAAAAAAAAAAAAAGGCCCTGCCCTGGCCAGTGGCTCATTTGGTTGGAGTATCAACCCCTACACCAAAAGGTTGTGGGTTTGAATCCAAGTCAGGGCACATACCTGGGTTGTGGGCTCAAACCCCAGTTGGGGCACATAGGGAGACAACTGATCGATATTTCTCTCTGACATCAATGTTCCTCTTCTCTCTCTTTCTCTCTCTCTCTCTCCCTGAAAAACCAATAAAAACCATATCCTCGGGTAAAGATTAAAAAAACACTCTTCCTGCTCTGGGAATTGCCCAGGCCCCTCTTTCCGGACCTCCCAGCCCTGGCCTGGCTCAGATACCCACAGAGTTGCCTGCAGAGCTCTGGGCCACCTGCCTGGAGAGGACCCCAGGTCACCTCCCACCGGGTGAACTGTCCAGGGACCCAAAGACACCGCCTGTTTGTTTGGAGTGAGGGTTCTGGCTGTTGTTCCTCACTTGGCAACAGGGACCTTCCTGCATCAGGCAGGACAGATTCTGTGCTCTTCAATAAAACTGCACACGGACTATACTGGTTCCAAAATACACAAAAATGAAATGCCTAATGTTTACACAAAAGCCAGCCGCCATATCCTCTGGACATGATGTCAAGAGCAAACCCACTCCAGCCATACAGGTCTGCACGTTTCTCAAATCTGGGCAGGCATCAACCACCGAGATGCCCAAGCTCTAGAATTGGCAGCTCTAGAATTTGCATTTTTACACGTTCCCAGGAGAAGCAGATGCTGCTGGGACCGCACACATAAAACCACTGGTTTTAAGGGAATTAGTCTCCAGACGTCAACTTCCACAGATCTCGGAGAACTGTCTCCTGAGGCATTTCCCTTTAAAAAGCAAAGGAAAACAAATGCTCACCCATCCTGCACTGCCCCAGGAATAAGAAAACTTCAAGGCACACAGCTGTGGGACAACCCAAAGCACTGGTTTGGGAAAAGCTGTCTTCAATGTCTGAGTTAGGGAAGAAAGGCTCTGAACTCAGCAAGGCCTGGAAGGGGCCAGGGGAGGGCTGGGGCCGGTGCCCAGAGCAGAGCAAACCCAAAGGCCCCCCATTACTTACAGATAAGCAATAATTTTCTTCTCAATATTTACTAGTATTCTAAGAATACAGCATTGGCAGGCTCACACGTGGGCTATAAAACTTTTTTTTTAAATATATTTTATTGATTTTTTATAGAGAGGAAGGGAGAGGGATAGTTAGAAACATCGATGAGAGAGAAACACCGATCAGCTGCTTCCTGCACACTCCCTACTGGGGATGTGCCTGCAGCCAAGGTACATGCCCTTGACCGGAATCAAACCTGGGACCCTTCAGTCCCCAGGCCGACGCTCTATCCAGTGAGCTACACCGGTTAGGGCTGGCTATAAAACTTTTTAAGACAAAAAAAAACATAAAACTTTTTAAGACAGAAGAGATCAAGCCTACCACATAGGTTTAATGTGATTTTTTCAGATTTGGTTAGTCAATCACATCACATATGCTTACTTCAATATCAACCATCATTTCCCATCTCATATATCTAATATACTAGAGGTCCGATGCTCAAAATTCATGCCAAGGGGCTTGGCCCTCGAAGCCCCGGCTGCCTCACGGCCCCACCCTCCGCCCATTGGTCGTTCTGGAAGGTCGTTCTGGAAGTCACCATATCCTCTGGACATGATGTCAATAGCAAACCCACTCCAACCATACAGACCTGCACATGTTAAGGCTCTACTGTCTGGTCTAATTAGCATATTAGCTCTTTATTATATAGGATGCTAATTTCCTGAGCAATTAGTTTTTGATCAGTATACACCATCTTCACCATTTGTCTATCTCATTTTTTTCACTAAATATATAAAATGACTCTAATCATGTCTAATAAGACTAGTAAGAGTATTTCTGACTTCTATAAATAAATCTTAGTTGAATATTCCCCCAAACTGGGCACAACATGCTCATTTTCACTTAGGGACTCAGGCCTGCCCTCATTCCTCTCACGCCTCCTAGATTTATGCCCCATCCTGTAATTTAAGTAATGAGAAACAGCAGCCATTAAATAAGTTATTCTGCAATGTTTCAGTCTAAGTGCATTTGGCACTTGATCTAAGATGCACCTCAATTTGTTTCTCAGTTCTTTTAATAATTTTCCTCAAAATACGTTTTAACATAAGGTTTAATTTTTTTAATTTAAGTATAGTTGGTATACAAACTTATATTGGCTACATTAGTTT